TTGATAGTAAATATCGCATTATTGGTCAAATGCATAAGAAGCAAGATCCTGCATTGAACTATAATTAAAAGTTTAGAAATATTTGAGGATATAGCTCTTCAAGGCCTTTCTTTCATTTACAGATAAAAGAAATGCAGGTAGGTAATTTTATTAATTTTGTGGTTGCGCTAAAATTGAACAAAAAAGATTTTGTATCAAATAAAAAAAAGCAAACAAAGTAAATATTGTGTGTCTCATATTCTAAAACAAGTCTGGCTTCAGACGCGCTTGGATGAAGCAGAAACTGCTGCTTTGAAAGGTGGTAAAAAAGTCATTGTTAAACTAGAATCGCGTATTCGCGAGCTTGAAAATGAACTTGATGGCGAACAGAGACGATATCAAGAAACAAACAAAAACCTTAGTAAACACGATAGGCGCATACGCGAACTGCAATTCCAGGTTACCTCATGCCATAAATCGAGTAGAATTTCCAGAGAAACAAACTCTTTTCGTGATAAGCCTCATCAATTTCCATCAGTTATAGGTAGATGAAGATAGAAAGAATGCTGGAAGAACAAGAGACCTCATCGACAAGCTGCAAAATAAGTTGAAATTACAAAAGAAGCAGATTGAAGAAGCTGTAAGTGACACTAAAATTTAGAATAATTTGATTTAAATGCCGAATAATGAGTTTTAGAATCTGTAATGTATCAATTACAGCAGATAATATCTACTTCAAACAGTAGTAGTAGCACGTATGTGTCTTAAGCAAATGGAGTTTTAGGAAGAATTGGCAAATGTAAACCTGCAGAAGTTTCGCCAGATACAGCATCAGTTGGATGATGCTGAAGAGCGAGCTGATCATGCTGAAAACTCGCTTTCAAAAATGCGTGCCAAAAGTCGTAGTACTATGACAGCTTCACCAGGTGTGCAAATTTCTCAGTCAGCTATTCTTCGCTCCTCTTCACGTTCACAGTTTTAGTGATTTAGATTAGTTATTCATGTTGTGTTCAGAACACAACTTTTTCCTTCAACTTAATTATTGATTGTGATTTCTTGATTTTAAACGACTTCTTTTTATGGCACAATGAGAAAATAAATTGAAATTCGTTCTTATATATGCTGTCCATTACTTTGAAACTCTACCTGGCAACTTCTGGAATGATTTTGAGCTTTTTCAAAAATATCACTTCGAAAACTTTATGAATTTGAGTGAAATTGATGATAGAATCTTGTTAACAGCAATAATATACGACTGAACAATGAAAGCATACATATGAGAACGCACTCAACTCAGAAACACAATATCATTTGTGAGTATTTATTTTTGTTTAGATCATTTTATCGGCTTGCCACAACTGTCAAAAAAGTTCAATAAAGTTTACATACTATGCAAATACCAAGAATTGCAAATGAATCGAAGAAGCTTATCTCTTAACTGAATCCAAATCATTCAATACTGTAAAAAAGTGCTTGTTGAATAGCTTCCTGAAGACCCTAAGTAAACTGGTATATTCTTACTTGCTGATTTTTCCTAGGATCCATTTTCAAAGCTGGTTAGTAAATATGAGTACAAACATTGATTACAGCGCTTTAATCTCAGCGCCAGATTAACTATTCGATTATGCGCAAATTAGACTAGTCTAAACCTCACAATACTTCCACATCATGGAAAAGGAAGGCATAATGCGAAGAGATATTTTTCAGGAAATTTTATTACACATGCTTTTTACGCCTATAAAATCAAGTTTGTAGTCTTTCTTGTGGAAACCGTCTAGTTACCCAACTAAACATAGCAAAAATGCTACTGAAAATGTGTCATATCGCTTTTTGAGTCACTGACTACTGAATAAAGCTAAAATCTATGTGCTAAAATACATACCTGATACTTTTCGCAACTCTCAGAACTAATTTCCAAGTTCAGATTACTCTTAGTTTTCTACAACTAATTTTTAATTTTATAACTTTAGATGCTAAATTTATATCACTTCTATCCACATAAAACTCATCAACTCATCAACTTCTAGCAGACCAGATCTACTAATTGTGCTATCTCATTCAACCAAACAAAAGTATTTATTAAACAATGTCCAAAAGTGGTATAAATGATTTAACAACAAAAACAATACTTCATCAATTTCTAAAAATAAAAATCAACAACAATATGCGCCTGTGAATACAAAACCATTTCAATTATGATAACAAATTCATTTCTTTCCAAGACATAAAACATGCACATGATGAATAAATCATTTACGAAATGCTCCATCACGGCTTGTCCCCTTCGTTTTCCATTTCTTTAAAACCAAACTTGATAACATCACATAAAATAAAAAAACAATAGTAAAAATATGCTTTTTTGTGTCTCTTCCTGGCTTTCAATCCTAATTTTTTGCATACTTATATCTAAAATGTATTATTAGATATAATTAACTGTGTAGAAAACAAGCTACAAAGCAACACTCTTTTAAAATTACCAAGACCGTTGAAAGGTTATAGATTTTATGTCGCTAACGATGTAACGAAAATGAATTAAGAAAAAGGTGCTTACAAGTTCAGATTTTAGAATTATTTCTTCGACAAGTAGAATTCTGTTTGCCGGATTCTGAAGACACATCCCGCAACTGACCATTTTCTGTAAGATACTATAATTTGCTAGACAACAAGAAATTTTATGTTGTTTTTGATCGTTTATCGTATGAGACTAATAACCAATATACTTATAAAGAAAGGTAAGTATTCTTTTCAGTCAAAAACAGGAACTGTAAGACATGAATTAAATGCAAGTCAAAACTATAAGCTTAGTTTAGCACTTTTCTCACCATGATTTGCCGAATATTGAGATCTTGAATTGTTTGCACGGGTGAAATTTGAATTGCTTGCTGCCTGAAAATCACTGGACCATCTGTTCGAACTCGAAGCCCTCTCTAGAAATCTAAAAAAATGACAATGATATTTGAAAACCATGCATTTGAAATCTTTTAACTGATTGAAATTAGCAGAATAAATTTCAGATGTGTTACGATTTTTAAATACATAATTTTGCATTTTCATAATCTAATATAATTCTGGATTCTAGTAATCTAAGAACTCAAACATGATTTTGTTTTAAAACTGAAGTTTTCCAAAATTTATTGTTAAGCGACAAATTTCAATTCTAAATTGACTAATAATGGAATTTCATATTTCTTACAAAATCTAACCTGGAAGCACGATTATCATTAATATAACGCATATCAGATCGTCCTTCTGGTTTGTAATTGCCGAAGTGGATGTTTTTAGGACTGTTAAGATAATGGATACCAGTTCTTATTTCATTTCTAAAATCGGCATTGTTGTTACATTGGTTTTTCGTCAAATCTGAGTTCGGTAGTAATACCGGCATCACAATGGGCATTGGTATCAACATTAGTGCAGGACATTTAATTGAATCATACCTATAATAATTCAAGATATGAAAAAATTTCAATTACTGTTATTTTGAAGTTAGTACAATTATAATAGAACAAAAATTAAATTTCGGAAGTAATTGCAATAAAATCTGCAGTTTTGAATGAGAATCAACTCCTGTAAGAATTAGAGAAATAAATACTTCAAACTTTGAAAGAAACTATTATACCATAAATTGGTATGCTGATGTGCCCAGTCGCGACGAGCCATCATTACTGATGCTATTAGCTGTTGTTGAGAGGTTTCAGCGACCAAATTTTCAGGTCTCGGAAACATTACTATGCTTTTTGCACTATTAGCCACAATTTGTCCATCTGTGGAGAAATGAAACAATGAATGGAAATAAACCAGCACTGTGAAAGTGTACTACTGTCCCCAAAATTTCAAATTTCAGTTTCCAAAAAAAATTCTATTATCAGTCTTACCATTCACAATACTGGTCTCTTCACTCCTGAACTTGAACAAATCAACTGTATATATACCTCGTTCCGCGCCATTTTTGATAACAATACTGCAGTTATCCCCTTTGTTAAGATCCTATAAAATTGCTCAAGTTGTTCGAAAGAAATGACTGCTATTATTAATATCAGTATCAAATGTATGAAAGAAAAAGCTATTAATGCAAATTACGAGAAAGAATTTGATCACAAATAACCTCAATATGCAAAGTGCTGAATGAACTTTTTCGGCAGTGAATCATCGCAGCTGGCAAATTCTTAATTGGGTCAAACTACAAAGAATTCACTGAGTTATACAGTCATTCAAAAGTATAACTAACAGAAGATTATGCTAGTGACTAATAACTAAAAATGAAAGCTCCTGAAAAAAGAATACTAGCCTTATCTAATGTCGAAATGTCGATGATGTCACTTTCAGAGACCCATCTAAACCAGCCATAATCCACCAAAAAAATCGAAAATCTGAAAAGTGTCAGTTTTTCCAATCTCATCTCACTTTTTAATAATAATATTAATATCGAATCTGCCCGAAAAAATAATCCGATCATTTCAAAGCAATACTACTCCATTTATTATTTCATTATACTTCTTGGTATAAGTATCGTATTTAGCTGGTACAGCACGATGAAGTCCTCTAAGAGTGTAGTCTCCTTTGATACGCACTAGGCAAGGCGTTTGACGCATCCAAATATTGCTGCTTTGGTGAGACAAAATGGGAAAATATGATATCTTATTCTCACTTTCTTTCAGCAACTGAAAATTATTTCTTTTTAATAAACTACAGAAACTGCTATTTTCAATTCAATAATGGAATATATATTTCATAAAGAATATAATTATTGCACAATTTGAGTCAATTCATTGTTCCACTACAGTATCATGTCAAAAGGTATTGCGTTTCTAATAGGTGTGAAAAAATTCCCAGCAAATGCAGATGAATTTTGTGTTTCAAAGGGTCACAATTTATGTTCTAACTGAAGGTAAGACCATTTTTGATCAAAAATACTGCAGTTTCCAACTCTTATTTCAACAGACGTGACTGATAACGCACAAGACATAACAAAGGCTACCAAAGACAATCTTTACCGTTTGCACTACTGAAAAAATTTTCGTGTTGACAACCCAAAAAGTGTCCCAAAAACGGTCTTTTTTATCAAATCGCACATTTACAGTTATAGGTAGCATTTCTGGTTCATAATGCTTGAATGCTGTTTGAATGAACAGATTTCTAATCTAAATAGAAAGTTTATTTATTTGGCTAGAAATAAACAATTGAAAATATAGCTTTTACAGAAAACATGATTTGGGAGTACTTTTCTGGAAATAGTAAAATTAAGTAAATACCTTAGGCATTTCATGTCTCCTGCCAACGTCCACGGCTGCAGGATCAGCTAAGAAATGATAACATTAGTTTAGCATATTTTAAGTTATTCTGAAACCTTAAATTTTTTCAAACTATTAATAAAAGAAATAATATAGGATAAAATATTTGCCATTATTCTTCTTTTTGTTTGGCTTCCGTGCATATTTCCCGTAATAATTTTCTAGCGAATCCGTTTCATCGTACTGTAAATTTCATTCTGTGAATAACAAATTGCGAATAATATTGTTCCCAGTTTGCAAATTAAAAAACTACAAGGTTCCGAAAGTTTTACCGAAGTGTAAGTGGTCGTATCACTGGATGAACTGGATATATCGACTTTAATACCTGTGATTATATATATTTCTGACATTAAATTTGGTAACAATAGCACAGAAATATGGAATAATGAATGTAATCACTTTTATAATGATTTACAAGACGATTATTATTCCTTACATTTCAGAAATTTTAATGAAATAAAGTGTAAAATAAATATTAAGTGCAAAAGCATAACATAAGATCGTCATCATAACTAAATGTAGTTCAAAATTAAATTGACCCACAAAAGTGTTTACTTCAGGATTTTTTATAATAAATTTATTAGACATAAAGTAATTACTAAATTTTGCACAATTTTCCCACATTTTAAGCCAAAACGAAAAAAATATGAACCTGCTATATTACCACTGTTTTCAGAACAATCATTTGTCATACGTGCCACAATATCGCTTAAATTTTCATAACGTTCATTGACTTCCACTTGCAGTTGACCACGAACAAAACCTACCACCACAGCAGATTTCGATACAGTTTCTATGGAAATACAGGATTAAAAAGTTTTGAAATACTGGAAAACAATGATTATTAATAAATGCAAAAACTTCCTTAATCATTAAATTTTACAAAAACTTTTTGCGCCTGTGCTTACCAACGATACATTTGCAATTATGCTCGACAAGACTGTTGTATATATCCATGGGCTGAATAGATGGTACCAGTACAGGACAAACACAACTGAATAGCTCAAATTTCATTATTTGTGATGGACATTCGTAAATTTCACCACAATGTATGTCGCATTGCATTCCTTTGTCAATAAGATAAATCTGTAATTTTTCCTCAATACTGTGATTGTCAGATTTCAATTCCTGAACAAATAAGGTTGATTTATTTAGTTGAAGTTTGAGGAACGTACTGAATAAGTGTTCGGTTTCGGTCTTCGAATAAAATACGACCGTTCTATTGAACTGTTTAATTTCACGAGATAAACTTCACCTAAAAAACAGACTTTTGTGTTGCAACAGACTGCTACGTTGTGGCGGCTAGGTGGTTTACAATTGATCAATAGCCGCGATTTTTATATACTCACAGCAGTATGATTTCTAAGAATTTAGGGCTCGGAAGAACTACTTGGTCTTATTATATCTGTATCGAGCAAGACATTTTCATAAAAAGCAACAAAGTTACCTAGATTTACTCCAGATAGATAGTCTACTTTTTTCAACGTCGACGTTAATTCCTGGATTTTTGAGCTAATTTCGTCATATTTTTGGCTCCAGGTCAATGGTCGTACGAAAATCAGTGTCCCGTTTCCAGCCTCAACAATATGACAGATTTTACCGTCAAAGTCAGGCACGGACGATAGAAGTGACATTACAGTCATTTTTTGCAAGAGCTAAGAACTGAAAAATGTTACTTTTGCAAGAAAAATTGCTGCATATAGTTGAATTTTACTTTTCGCAAACCAGTTAGATTGTGGATATCAATTATTCAAGAGTAGCGTAAACATCCTTGCTAGTTTGGTATAGAGATAAAAATAAACAGCAAATACTACGAAATCCTAAGAAAAGATGGAAACGTGAGCTGTGGGTAAAAAGTTATGCAGCAGTTTTATCAGACACATCACTAAACTTTCAATAATTATTTCCCGACAGTAAAAACTAAAAGTCCAGAATTCATGTTCTCTAACATTACGATTGTACTGTACTTAAAAACGGAAATATAGGCTCAATTTGTAGAATGCAAATCAGTTACCATCTTTGAATTACTCAAAATTGAACATTACCTTCACAAGGAACTGAGTGTTCTAACGCTCAGCACTTATGTTTTCTAGCAACGCGACCGACCTACAATAAAACACTCACAACAAATGGCTAATGCTGTATGCTTGACATTTTGACTGAAACCGGTTGCACAATATATTTGACATCTGGTCGCATCCGCATATGAAACGTTTCCGTCCGGTTTCCTCATATTGGATGAATGTTGGGATAATATTCCAAAGGTTGCAGGAAAATTACTTCCGTGTAATTGTGAAGCAGTAATTTGCTTTTGTCTACAAATAATTAAACATATCTAATCGTGAAAATCGTCCAGCACATACGTTTTTGTATACCTACAGTGTATTGCTAATACAGCAGTCTTATCGTAAGAATGCTGTATTGACGTGTAATATAGTGTTGTTGACGTGTAATATGTTTGAACATCGAAAAATAGTTAAGTGTTCTTTACAATGTATGTGTCTGAAGGAAATAATAATAATGACAATAGAATGATATTGAAAGGTCTTATTAAGTAGATTGCATGCTACTAAGCAAACGAAGACTAACTTTGAAAACATGGTTGGGGGTAAGAGATGATATGAAGATAACATGAAAAAATAAAATTTTGGGAGTGATATATATACAGATACAATTATGAAATTGAGTACAGAAAGAAAGGTTTGTATAATATACATTATATGACAATCAAATAAAGCGCTAGAGCATTCAAACTTGAATTACAGTAACTGCAACTTCTTAAATGTAGCAAGAGCAGTGCAAGATCAAAACTGCAAGGAAATCTGTTTAAAAATATGTTAAATTGGATAATTTTTGAAATATGGTAACCTTTTCAAAATTCACTGCAAGTTGTTTGTGGTAACGAAGAATAGCAAACATTTTGGCCACATAATTCTATACTAATAATAATACCTCATAAAAGATTTGCGCTACAGTCACCAGTCTTGATAGTAAATATCGCATTATTGGTCAAATGCATAAGAAGCAAGATC